TGTGAAATTTAAGAGGCTTATATTATTAGTGTCAACTACAGCCACTTAGCCAAGCCATCCTGACCTTCCCCAAGAAAGCTTAGTCATTACTTCTGCTGATTAAGTTCCATATTCTTCGTCTGTGACAGCCTGTGACTTTTTTGGGCCATTTCTGGCTTCAGCTCACAAGGCAATGAGGTGCTCTGACGACCTGCCCCAGATGTAAGTTCTGCTGTCTGTACCCAGTGACCTTGATCCTACACACTTTGGGCCTTTGAGACTTGAAGGAAGGAAGCTGTGTTCTGTTTGTAAGGAAGTCGTTGCTTGGGAGAGTATGCGCTTCAGAATCCTCTTTAAAGGAAAGCATCCAATAAAGATTGAGTTTCCTTCCTGCTCTTTCCCACTTCCTTGTCCCTAAGGCTGTCCCAACTGGCTTTGAGCCCCTCCCACCCGTTCTTGCTCATTCCCTGCTTTGGTTTCTCAAGCAGGTTTATTGAGGTGTAGTTTACGCTCAGGGAGGTTAGCCCTTGTTAACCCGCACTTCTGTACCTGCTGACAAGGGCAGCCAGCACAAGTGAGAGATCTTACAGTTCCATCACCCCAGAAGGTTCCACACTGCCCCTTGTTCTTGGCTTTTGTTCCTGTCCCGACTGTGGTTCCCAAGTGCGGGCTGCTGTCCCTCAGCCTCCTGCAGAGTGTTACTTAAACGAAATCTCAGGAACCTTCCAAGTCTGCCCCATGGCTGCTACCCAGGCAGGCCCTGGTAAAGGATTTAGGATGTGTTTGTGATTACTGCTACAAGCATACCTATGCAGGTTTTTGTATGACCCTAAGTGTTTGAGGAGACAGCTGCAGCGTGTGTGAGCACGGCATCCTTCCTGCTCCTGACACTGCCATCCAGCCCTGTCTTCACCCACAAGTGGGTGAGAGGCCCTAATCGTCATGGCGCACCATTGCCCCAGCTAAGCTGCAAACCTGCTGTCCTGGCGTAACAGGTGCCCAGACCGGAGGAGCAGGGAGCGTGCCAAGCAAGCGGCTAAGCTCACTAATCTGTATTGAGGTCACCTGGGATTTACCTGCCCACACGCAGCCTTGGGCATGAAGCATATTGCGAGAAGTCATAAATTGTTGAGCTGAGGCTACAAATTCCAGATTATATAGTTTCTTATGTGATCAATCAAAGCTATCACCATTGAATTTTGGGGGTGAGGGAGAGGTTGGCAGTGCTACCTTTTGAAAGGTCTCATCATGCTTGACTGGCATTCTGCCACTTTAACCACACCTCCAGCCTTGCTTTTTGCTTTTTATTTCAGAAAGGCAGCCTAGCAAACTTTTCTGCCTAGACTGCCTTCAAACTACAGTCCTGCAGATACCAGCCTCCTGAGTAAGGAGGATTGTAGGCGGGAACTGCAAGTGTTTGGAAAAATGGAAGTCTGGCAGGCAGAGACGGGAGGATCTCATTTGAAGCCAAGCTAACAGGAGTCTTAATCTAAAAGGAAACTAAGGGCTGGGAATGTGGCCTAGCGGTAGAGTGCTTGCCTAGCATTCATAAAGCCCTGGGTTCGGTTTCCTGGGTACCACATACACAGAAGTAGTACCTGTGGCTCATGTGGTAGAGTGATAGCCCTGAGCAAAGAAGCTCAGGGACAGCACTCAGGCCCTGAGTTCAAGCCCCAGAACTGGCACAAAAAAAAAAGCAAGCGGATTAGGGGTATGACTTGGGTGATATAGCACGTAACGAAGTGTGAGGCTCCGAGTTTGATCTCCAGTACCACAATCTGTCAGCTCCTGGGCTAGGGACACAGCTAAGTAATACAGCATTTACCTGCCCTACTTACAGCCTAGGACTAAAGGAAAGAGCAGCTTCAGGCTGTCGCTAGTACTTAGCCCAAAGGTAGGGTCAGTTGATAAAACTAAGATTTAACCAAGCTCCTTGGGAGAAATGAATACCCCACAAGCCCTAGGAAAGACCAAAGTCAGGCACAAGGAAGAACCTGGTTCTGGGGTACCAATTGCTCACCTGTAAGCTACGCAGGAGGATCATGGCTTGAGGTTAGGCTAGGCAGAAAGTTCATGAGACGCCTATCTCGACAGAAAAGACTTGGGCATGGTGGCACATGCCTGTCATCCTAGCTGCAGTGGAAAATGTCAAAATGCGAGATTTTTTTGCCTCAAAAAGAACCAGAACGAGAAGAGCTGGGGCCTCTTGAGTTCAAACGGTAGAGCAACTTCCTAGCAAGTGTGAAGCCCTAGGCTCAAGCTCCAATATCCCCCAGTAAAGGGAATAGACAAATGACCCGTACTGGCTACCTGAGGCCAGGTATAGTGAGTTCCTCCAGCTGGTGCTCTGTGTCGGAGGCTGCATTCAGGTACTCAGATTGCTCCCCTTGTCTAGGGCGTGCCCTGCCCCTTGGACATTCAGATCCAGACTTGGGGGGGGGGGGGGGAGTGGTGATGCTTTGGCCCAGGCAGAAGGGAAAACTGCACTTGGTGCTAGGATGGGAACCCAGGGCCTCACAGGTATTTGGCAAGCACTTTACCCCACAGGCCTTAGTTTTGGATTTCTTTTAGTCATGAAGTTAAAATTACATTAAAATTTCCATTCTGACTCCAGTTCTACTAAATGTGAGCTATTTAGATGACCCAGGAATCAACTTCTTGCAGAGGAGGGGGCAGGAGGAGAGGCTGGTAACAGTTACAACCCTCCAGGAAGGTTCTGTGTGTGTGAGAGAGAGAGTGTGTGTGTGTGTGTGTGTGTGTGTGTGTGTGTGTGCTTGCGTGCGCACACACATGTGCACGCTGGCACTCTGGCTTCAATGCAAAGCCTGGGTGCTGCCCCTTAGTTATTTTCAAGGCTGATGCTCTACCACTTGAACTACAGCTCTACTTCGACTTTTTGGTAGCTAATTGGAGACAAAGAGTCATGGACTTTCCTGCCCGGGCTGTCTTCAAACCATGATCCTCAGACCTCAGCCTCCTGAGTGCTAGGATTACAGGCGTGAGCCACCAGTACCTAGTAAGTTGGTTCCTTTTAACAAATCCTAGCTAGAATTCAGTACCCTGTGCTACATACTGTTGAATGGACTAAGACGGTCATTTAACAAGTGGTTCGCGTGCAATAGAATTTTTAATATGTTACACAACTGTTGACAGCGCAGTCTCGCATCCAGGCCTGGAGGAGCACTTTCTCGAGGCTTCTCAGCACTCCTGAGAGATGGCGGGAAGCTAGGGGCCCTCGCTGGAGAGGGCCGACCCGGCATTTCGGGAGGGTCATTCCTTGGTCTGAGACTCAGACATCTGAATAAACATGGGACCAAAGTCTGATGGCATGTCCAGATAGCTTCGACCAGATCTGCGTGGGAGAATGAACCCCGGGATACACTGCAGGCCGCACCAGGAGTCTTTACCTTCTCTCTACTGGAGAGACTGCAGCCCCACAGCCTGGTCCGAGCAGAGGTAAGTGACAGGAGCTCCCCTCCCAGCTTCTGCCTCTTGCCTGGCTTTGACCTCTAGCCAAGCGGGTCACTTGGTCTTATAAACGTTCCACCGGTGGATGCTGAGCCCTGCCTTCCTCTGGTCCCCCTGACCTGGCTGAGCTGAAATCATGCTCTCCTTGCCCTGCAAACTTGCCTGTCTTCTGCCAAAAAACAACACTCACCCAGGTGCGAGGTCAGAAAGACAGGCTGTCCCGGAGAGTCTTCCCTCATCCAGAATCATCCAGAAATAGTGTGTTGGAGGGGGCACTCCTTGAGGAGTCAGGGCCTCCTCAGCTGGGGTCCCCAGGAGGCCCGGTCTCCAGTGTGGACTCTCATGTGACTAAAACTCCTGGACAATAATTGTAACCCAAGGCTTCCTAAGAGAAGCCACACATTGATCACCTAGAGGTGGAGGGTTGCTGGAATGTTCCAACAGCCCATAGTTTACTCTGGGAAAAGTGACTGAGGCCCTGAGAACAGAGCACAGAAGCAGACTTTTCTCTATTTTTGGTGGGGAAAAGTAATCCTCACCTCAAAAATTCTCTTGCAAAAAGCCGGGTGCCAGTGGCTCACGCTGTAATCCTAGCTACTCAGGAGGCTGAGATCTGAAGATCGTGGTTCAAAGCCAGCCCAGGCAGGAAAGTCCATGAGACTCTTATCGCTAATAAACCACCAGAAAACCAGAAGTGGTGCTGTGGCTCAAGTGGTAGAGTCTAGCCTTGAACTGAAGGACAGTGCCCAGGCCCAGAGTTCAAGCCCCATGACCGACCAAAACAAACAAAAATTCTCTTGCCCCATACTAGAACATTTCCTGTAGAACTGCCTTCCAACATCGGGCATTCATCAAACAAAATGACCCAGGCTGTCAGTATTGGCATTAAAAATAATAATAAAAGTATTCATCGATGGTGGTTTGCACCTATAATTCTAGCTAATTGGGAGGCTGAGATCTGGAGGATCATGGTTTGAGGCCAACCTGGGCAAAAGAAAAACGTTTACTAGCCTCCATCTCCAAAGTAATCAGCGAAAAGCAGGGCTAGAGCCATGGCTCAAGTGGTAGAGCACCAGCATAGCAAGCACAAGGCCCTGAATTCAAGCCCTAATACTATCAAGGAAACAAAGACAACATGGCCATTACATTTTTTTTAGACTTCCCTGTGTTTATGGGTCCCGGGATGATGCTTTGAAGGTAGAATGAAACATTTTGGAGCTTAAAACAGGCAAACTCTAAAGGGGGAATACCCTGGATGTGGTCAGTGGAATGGGTTTCGCATGCTAAGAGGTGCGTCCTGGACTGGCCATCCTCTGTTCCCATGTCACCGTGTCCACCATGAGGGCGCACACCGGGCAGAGGGCCTGCGGGGAAGGCCACAGGACTCACTTGCCACTAGCTTTAGGGACCTGGGACTTGCAATCCCACCATCCAGAGGGTCTGTCGGACAGCCAGCCTTCCCGGGAGAAGCAGGCGCAGAGTTGGACAAGGGGGGTTCCACATTTCCTGGAGTCCGCTACTCAGTGTTCAGGAGGGGAGAGGCCCCGGGGCCGTCACCCAGCCTCGGGGGCCAGGCCTGCATCTGCGCCTTCCGCTTCCACCTGGTTGCCTTTGCCCAGCTTTTTCAAGCTCTCCAGAAAGGCCTTCCAGGTCTCGGGCACGCTCTTCTCCAGCAGCCAGCCCTCGCTCTCGCACTCGGGGTCCTCTGGGTTGGACACGCCTTCCAGGGCTGTGTGCAGGTACCGCAGCCCAGCCGTGATGCTCACCTGGGAGATGGGATTGGGGGGGGGGGGGGCGGGGGAGAAGCAGATTTAGATGCTAGAGTCAGAGCTGGGAGCCACCAGCCTGTGTCTCCCATGGCCCAGGAAAATACCTAAACAAAGTGTGACACCACGATGTCGGCATTGGTGACAGCCTGACCCCCTCACCCTCGCCTGGCCCCAGTGCTCAGGGTACCAGCCTCCTCTCCAGCCTCCTCTAGGAATCCCCACTTCTCCCACTTCATCCACCAGGGCTTCTGTGGAGCCACAGCCCTCCTGACCCCACTCAGTGCTTACACCCGTCCACTGTTATCTGTCAAGAGTATTGTTGCTTGGGCTGGCCATGGTGACTCACACCTGTAATCCTAGCTACTCAGCTGGCTGAGATCTGAGGATCACAGTTCAAAGTCAGCCCAGGCAGGAACGTCCTTGAGACTCTTAGCTCCAATAAACCACCAGAACATCCGAAGTGGAGCTGTGACTCAAAGTGATAGAGTTCTAGGCTGGAGCAAAAGAGCTCAGGGACAGCGCCCAGCACCTGAGTTCACAGCCCAGTACTGGCATGAAAACTAAAGTCAGCTGTTTTCTGCAGGCTTTGTGGTGGAGTGTGGTTTCTTTCCGTGTCTGTTGTTTGGTGAGTGTGGTGATGAATGGATTCCAGTAATGGATCACGTGGATCTGTGCACTAGCATTCATTGTGGCAGCGGGTGCCAAGAATGCCTGGCTCGGAGCCCAGCCAGGCACTTGTGTGACCATGCCCTTATTCTCCCGTTTGCAGATTGCGGATGGCACAGCCTCTCGCCTCCTGTGTTGCCCCGTGCCACAGAAAACCCGGCATGCTTCTTAACCTGGTAAGCTGTTTCTGCTATGTTCACCCATTTCCACCAAGGACCAGGTTGTACTCTGTACTTCCTGTGCGAATGGACCCAGCTGCTCTCCAGGAAGAAAGGCTGCCCCTTGGTACATCTCCTTTATCCAGTACCCCAGCTCCTGCAACACAGCCAGTGGCACAGCACCTCAGTGAGGATCTGCTCCATTAATGCTCTGGGGACCATTTATCATGGCAGCACCTGAGGACAGCACCTGACCAAGTTTTGGATTTGGTTATTGTCAGATGGAAATTTAGGAAACTATTTTGGTTTGGTTTCGTTGTTTTTTGATGCCAGTCCTAAGCCTTGAACTCAGGGCCCGGGAATTATCCTTCAGCTTTTGTGCTCAAGGCTAGTGCTCTACCACTTGGGCCACAGCATTACTTCTGGTTTTCTGAAGCTAAGAGTCTCAAGGACTTTCCTGCCTGGGGTGACTTTAAACCAGGATCCTCAGATCTCAGCCTCCTGAGTAGCTAGGATTACAGGTGTGAGCACCGGCACCTGGCTTAGTAAACTATTTTAACAGTGGGAAAAGTGACCCCTTCGAGGAGGTCCTCACAGGGAGGCTGTCCACTCTGGCTTCTTGGCTTTCCTGAAGGAGACGCGCCGCAGTGTGAACTTCACGGTTGGTCATGGTCCTCCCTTTGGTTTGGTTTGGTTTGATTTGTGCCAATATTAGGGCTTGAACTAGTGCCTCACACTCTTGCTCAGATTTGTGCTCATAGCTGACACTACCACCGAGCCATGCCTCCAGTTCTGGTTCATAAGTGAGATGTTATCTCCTGACTGGCTCAAGGCTAAGGTGGAATACTGTCACAGGCCTGGACCCATGTGCCCATCATCGCGCTCTCCACTAAAGGCCTTGGGGAAGTCAAGGGGCATTCACTGTGTTCCTGGGAGCCATCCTAGTGAGCCAGGCTCCTAGAAAGTAGTGAGCTGAGACGCAGCCAATGGGACTCCATTGCCCACTGATTCGGTTCTCCTAGCGGGTGGGCAGGGTCTGGTCCTAAGCTAGCAGTAAACTGCTCTCATTCGACTTCCTCACCCCCTAGACTCCACCCTGAGGAGTGAACAACCAATAGAGGGTAGTGAATGTGCTCTGCTGGTCGCTAAGTGTACAAAAGCCTTCCTGGTGATCCGTCCCCCTAGATGTTTTGAGGTGAGTGGCAGCAGCCACACCCACAGCTCCTCCTATGGAATCTCACAGCACTGAAAGCTTGAACCTCCATGGAATCTCCTTCCATGGGAAAAAGTTTCTCTGCCTAATGTTTCTGAGCTTGTGTATTTGGATTCTAGAGTCTGGATTTTCTTTGATCAAGTGTACCTACCTGCCAGGCACTGGTGGCTCCCATCTGTAATCCTAGCTACTCAGGAGGCTGAGATCTGAGGATAGTGGTTCAAAGCCAGCCTGGGCAGAAAAGTCCACGAGATTCTTATCTCCAATTAAGTACCAGAAAACTGGAAGCAGCACTGTAGCTTGAAGTGGTAAAGTACTAGCCTTGGGCAAAAAAGTTCGGGGACAGCGCTCAGGCCCTGAGTTCAAGCCCTACCACCAACCAAAAAAATAATAATAATAGGGGCTGGGAAGGTGGCTCAGTGGTAGAGCACTTGCCTTGCATGCATGAGGCCCTGGGTTCAATTCCTCAGCACCACATAAGAAAAAAGCCGGAAGTGGCACTGTGGCTCAAGTGGTAGAGCTCTAGCCTTGAGCTGAAGAGCTGAGGGACAGTGCCCAGGCCCAGAGTGCAGGCCCCACGACCAGACCCCCCCCCAAAAAAAATAATAATACAGGGCCGGGAAGGTGACTCAGTGGTAGAGTGCTTACCTTGCATGCATGAGGCCCTGGGTTCTATTCCTCAGCACCATATAAGCAGAAAAAGCCAGAAGTGGTGCTGTGGCTCAAGTGGTCGAACACTAGCCTTGAGCTAATGAGCTGAGGGACAGTGCCCAAGCCCAGAGTTAGGCCCCACGACCACTACCAACAACAACAAAAACAGAGAACCTAGATGCCAGGCACTAGTGGCTCCTGCCTGTAGTCCTAGCTACTCAGGAGTCTGAGAATTGAGGTTCAAAACCAGCCCTGAAGGAAAAGTTTCTGAGATGCTTATCTCTAATAACTAAAAAGCCAAAAAGTGGAGCTATAGCTTGAGGGGAAGAAAAAGAAAAAAAAAGCTATGTGACAGAGCTCAGGCCCTGAGTTCAAGCCTTAATACTAGCACACACACACACACACACACAAAAAAAAAAAAAAGAAGAAGAAGAAGTAGTTTAGTGCTCTGAGTCTCCCAGTACCTTGTCTTCTATGGGCTTGTGGGCTGTCATTCAGCACCTAGAACAGCGCCTGGCATGTGATTGGTGTTTGAGAATTCTCCCTTCCGTGAATGAATGAATGAATGAATCAATTCGATGCATTCACTGGGAGCCTGCTACGTGTCAAGTTCCAAAGCTGCAGAGAGAGGAACTAAGCCTTATAGACAGCACAAGAGGAAATGAATTAGCATGTCATACTGGTCAGAATCTTGAGCAGCACAAACCAAATAGCTCCCATGTACTGAAGACCCCAGTGTACACATTACTGGATGCATTGTCCCCAAAGCTCAGTGATATCACCCCCATGGGCCAGAGAGGCTAAGCACCTGGCCAAGGCCTCCTCAGAAACTGGAAGCATGGGACAAAGGTGTAAGACAAGCTAAATTATAAGCCAAACATTAACTCTTTCAAAGTATGTGGAGTCAGGCTAGGAAGTTGGCTCAGTGGTAGAGTGCTTGCCTCGCAAGCATGAGGCCCTGGGTTCGATTCCTCAGCACCACATAAGCAGAAAAAAGCCAGAAGTGGTGCTGTGGCTCAAGTGGTAGAGCACTAGCCTTCAGCTGAAGAGCTGAGGGACAGCGCCCAGAGTTCAGGCCTCCCCCCCAAAAAAATATGTGGGGTCATTTCTATGAAATGCCAAGAATAGCTGGATGCACAGAGCACTAAGGGGAGCTGGCAGGGTGGTGGAACAAGCCACAACTGCTGGAGGGTGAGTGTGTCCCTGAGTGTTAGGAATGTCCTGGCACTAGCTTGAGATGGTACTTGGGTGACATTGTGAGTGTGCTCAATGTCACTGAACTGTATGCTTTAAGTAGAAGTTTTATATTAATTTACTGAAATAAAGTAAGCTGGGAATTGGGGGCTCACACTGGTAATCCTACCTCCTCAGGAGGCTGAAACTTGGAGGATCAAGGCTTGAAGCCAGCCCAGGTAGAAAATTCTTCAAGGCTCCATCTGGGCTGGCGGCACCAGTTATACGCAGGAGAGCTGAACGAGAACTCAAGGCTCTGAGTCCAAACCCCAGTTCTGACCCAGAATTAAAGTGATGGAGCTGAGCATTGTGGTGCATACCTATAACCCCAGCTGAATGGGAGGCTGAGGCAGGAAGATCATGAGGTTCAAGTCCAGTGCTCTGACCTACAATGAAGCCAGAGGCTGGGCTGAGGCCTGGCCCCACACCACTACACTGAGTGGACCACAGGCCCCCTCTTCCACATGCAACCGGCCTACCTCCAAGAGCCAGACCAGGAGCGTGGCGACGCCCATGGAGTTCATGAGGCTACTATAGTAGCTCAGCAAGGCTGCCCTGCAGCCGCGCAACCAAAGGTTGAGCTCCTCGGTCTGGTGGTCGTAGCTGTAGTGTGCTGAGTTGTTGGTGAGCTGGTACTGGATGCAGGGCCGTGGTGAGCTGGGGTTACAACAGCTGAAAGGGACGCCATCCACCAGGTACCGCCCGTCCACATTGCTCTTGATGCGGCTGCAGGACAGACAGACAGACAGCCTGAGTCAGCCTTCCCAGACTTCTCACCAGGCACTATCTCCTCACAACTCCAGAAAACCTGCATCTTAAGCCGGGCACCAGTGGCTCATGCCTGTCATCCTAGCTACTCAGGAGGCTGAGATCTGAGGATCATGGTTCAAAGCCAGCCTGGGCAGGAAAGTCTGTGAGACTCTTATCTCCAATGAACCACCAGAAAACCGGAAGTGGCGCTATAGCTCAAGTGGTAGAGCACTCTCCTTGAGGTAGAGAGCTCAGGGACAGCGCCCAGGCCCAGAGTTCAAGTCCCATAACCGACCAAAAACAAAAACAAAACAAAAAACCCCGCATCGTCACTCCCGCACTTGCTCCTGCATAGCCACTGAGCGTCAGCCCGTTCTTGGCACCGCGGATGGAGGGAGGAGCACACAGCCGTATCCCTGCCTTCCTGGAATGTATGTTCTAGAAGGCAGAGGCTGGTAAACCAAGAGGCAAATGAAACCCAGAAACGGAGAAATCTTACCCTGCCACACCAAGCACCCATGGCTCATGCCTTGAACCCTAGGTACTTGGGAGGCTAAAATTGGAAGGATCACACTTCAAAGTCAGCCTTGGAGGGAAAAAAAAAGTTTGCAATCCATCTCAATCCATCTCAGTCCACCTGCCACCCTGAACTATGCGGGAGGCTGAGCTTGGGAGGATCACAGCCAGACCAGGCAGAAAAGTCTGGAAGACTCAACTGAGGGAATCTGAATGTTGCGTAGTCACCTAGGAAGCCTAAATAGGTAGGTAGATTATGGCCCAGGCCAATGCTAAGCCAAAAAACAGGGCTGGAGATGTAATTCAGAGGTAGAGTACCTGTCTAGCAAACGAGAGCTCCTGCGTTCAAAACCCAGTACTTCCATTTAAAAAAAGGATCTTTGCAGCCAGGCACCACTGTAATCCTAGCTACTCAGGAAGCTGAGATCTGAGGATCATGGTTCAAAGCCAGCCTGGGCAGGAAAGTCTGTGAGACTCTTTATTTTTTTTTTTTTTGGTCCGGTCGTGGGGCCTGAACTCTGGGCCTGGGCGCTGTCCCTCAGCTCTTCAGCTCAAGGCTAGCGCTCTACCACTTGAGCCACAGCACCACTTCCAGCTTTTTTTCTTATGTGGGGCTGAGGAATCGAACCCAGGGCCTCAGGCATGCAAGGCAAGCGCTCTACCACTGAGCCACCTTCCCAGCCCCTCTGTGAGACTCTTATCTCCAATAAATTACTCAAAAAAGCCAGAAGAGACACTGTGGCTCAAGTGGTAGAGTGCTAGCCTTGAGCAAAAAAAGCTCAGGTACAGCACCCAGGTCCAGAGTTCAGGCCCCAGGACTGGGATGTTTGCATCTGTGAGGATGTGGCCTTTTTTTTTGTTTGTTTGTTCATTTGGTGTTGGTCCTGGGGCCTAAACTTAGGGCCTGGGAGCTCAGCCTTAGGTATTTCACTCAAGGCCAGCATTCTCCCCCACTTGACCACAGCTTTACTTCTGGCTTTGTAGTAGTTAATTGGAGATGAGTCTCTTGGACTTTCCTGACTGGCTTCAAAATGTGATCCTCCAATCCCAGTCTCCTGCAGAGCTGATCATGTGTTTCTTTAGAGAACACCACACATGGTGCAGAATTCAGAGATGTTCCAACAGGCCTCAGCATGGCTGTCTGGTGTCTGCATGACAAAACTTACCCAGTTGCACACCTAAGATCTGTGCACGTGTTGTGTGAGTGTTGTCTAAGTGACAGAGCTATGCAAGAGCCATGCACTACTCAATAGCAGCAGACATGCACAACCCAAGATTAAAAACCATGAAACTGTTAAGTAAGGTTTTCAGTGGTGCTCACTGGCATGGTAAGCACACTCTTTAAAATTCTGTCCAGGCTTAGGAAGGCGGCGGCTTAATAGTAGAGTGCTTGCCTAGTATGCATGAAGCCCTGGGTTCGATTCCTCAGTACCACATACACAGATAAAGCCAGAAATGGCACTGTGGCTCAAGTGGAAGAGTGCTAGCCTTGAGCAAAAGCAGCTCAGGGACAGTGCCCAGGCCCTGGGTTCAAGCCCCAGGACCAGCAAAAATAAATAAATACATAAATTCTGTCCATATGCTGGAGACATGGTCTGAGTGGTAGACTAACTGCCTAGCAGCATGAGGCCTTGTATTCAAACCCTGAAAAAAATAATTAAAGTTCCAAACATTTCTTTTAAACTGGCGCCAATGGCTCATGTCTTTACCCTCTCTTTAGTAATCTGAGAACTGAAGATCACAGTTCAACGCCAGCCCGAACAGAAAAGTCCATCTGTGAAACTCAGCTCTAATCACCAAAAAGCTGGAAGTGAGCTGTGAATCAAGTGGTAGCACCCCAGCCTTGAGGAAAAAGGTAAGGGACAGTGCCCAGACCCTGAGTTCAAGCCCCAGGACCTAGACACACACACACACACACAACTTCATCTTTTTACTGCAATACAAGACTCCCGTCCTGTCCCTCCGCTTCCACAGCCCACCATGATGATGTCACTTGTGGACAGGAAGCTTGGGCTCAGGTTCTGCAATTGTTAGGTTTCCCAAACCAATCCATGGGGTTTCTGCTGGGTTCTACCATTCCGTACCCAAGGATGCTTGTGTTCTTCCCTCTGCTCACTCAAGCATGGATGTTAGTCATTGTGCATGTAGCAAATATTTCCAGGCAGTGAATTTCCAGAAGCCACTGTTTGTATGTGTGTGTGTGGGGGGGGGGGGGAGGGGGTGATCTGTCCAGGTCCCTGCAGTCGATCTCCCTTGGGGACGGGAGAGTCTCCCCTCACAACCACACCCACACAGCTCCTACATTTGAACACTGAAAATCTAACCAGGTGCTTGTGACTCATATCTACAGTCTCAGTGATCTGTGAGGCCGACATCAGGAGGAAACCTGGCCAGCCCAGGCAGGAAAGCGAATGAGACGCCAGCTTGATGGAAATACAGTGAGCATGGTAGTATATATATACCTGTCATCCCAGCCACAATGGGAAGCCTAAATAGGCTGAAGGATAAGCATGCACCTGGCAGGAATGGAGTCCTTACCTAAAAAGAACCAGTCCAAAAGGGCTGGAGATGTGGCTCAGTGGGAAAGCACCTGCCTAGCAAGCGTGAGGCCTCAGTCCAAACTCCAGTACCACCAAGAAAAATTTAAAAGGTACCTAGCTTGGTATTGTTTTAATTTCCATTTTGTACTTTATGAGCCAAGTAGAGCATCTCTCTCTCTCTTTTTTTTTGGTTGGTTATGGGGCTTGAACTCAGGGCTTGGGTGCTGTTCCTGAGCGTCTTTGTGCTCAAGACTACTACTCTACCACTTGAGCCACAGCGCCACTTCCAGTTTTTGAGTGGTTAATTGGAAATAAGAGTCCCATGGGGATTTTTCTGCCCTGGCTGGCTTTGAACCGCAATCCTCAGATCTCAGCCTCCTGAGTAGCTAGGATCACAGACGTGAGCCACCTCCAGCACCAGACCAGGTGGCGCTTCGTTTGACATGGCCCACTGCCTACAGAACAGATGGCTGGGCACAAGGGCACTCACTGGGCAGGGATAAGCGCAGGATGACCCAGGGTTGACTCCTGCCCCGCCCCCTCCCCTGAAAGGCCAGTGACATTGCAGGGACCCAGTCACTTGGGAGTGGGTGGCACCAGCTGGCCAGCTGTGGGGCCTGTCCTTGAAGGCGCCTGCTCGTGGGTGGGTGTGGCCAACACGAATGAACTGTAGCTTGTTCCGTCTCCCAGGCAGTGCCGTGGGTGCAGGGAGAGCAGAGTCCAGTCTGGCCAGTGCCCGGGTCAGTCCTGGGCCAGGGCGGGGAGGGGAGGTCTTCAGCATGTGGCTCTTTTTTTTTTTTTTTTTTTTTTTGTCGGTCCTGAGGCTTGAACTCTGGGCCTGGGCGCTGTCCCTCAGCTCTTCAGCTCAAGGCTAGCACTCTACCACTTGAGCCACAGTGCCATTTCCAGTTTTCTGATAGTTTATTGGGGATAAGACTCTCATGGACTTTCCTGTCTGGCCTGGCTTTGAACCAAGATCCTTAGATCTCAGCCTCCTGAGTAGCTAGGATGACAGGTGTGAGCCACTGGTGCCCGGCTATGGCTCTTACTTTCTGCATGGCCAGCTGCCCTGGGCATATGGAGTAGAACTGAATCTCAGGATGATCCCTCCACCTGGCACACACCTGTCATCCTAGCTACTCAGGAGGCTGAGATCTGAGGATCACGGTTCAAAGCCAGCCTGGGCAGGAAAGTCCATGAGACTCTTACCTCAAAAAACAAAAACAAAAACTACACAAAACAAGCCAGAAGTAGCAGTGTGGTTCAAATGGTAGGGCACTAGCCTTGAGCACAAAGAAAGCAGGGAAAGCACCCAGGCCCTAAGTTCAAGCCCCAGGAACAGCGAGCGTGTGTGCATGTGTGCGTGTGTGCGTGTGTGCGTGCGTGTGTGTGTGTGTGTGTGTGTGTGTGTGTGTGTGTAATGATTCCCTCCCTGCCACTCCCAAGACCAGCCCACACACTGGCCTTCAGGCAGGGCCTCGCTCCCGCTCTTCTCCTTCTGACCGCCAGCCGCCCCAGCCCTGCTTGAGTGCCTGCCGCCATGCTCCCAGTCACATTTGTGAACAGCGGGGTTCCACACTCTGTGTGAGGTGGCCGTGCTGGCATCCACCTCGTGGTGGAAGGTCCCCTTCTCCACTCACAGTCCTCTGGCCAGGGCCTTGAAAACCACTAGAAGGTTCTACACTAGAGGAAGTCAAAGAACCAGAGCCGCCCAGACCAGGTGGCCGCACCCCTGGCCTCAGATGGAACTCTCCAGAGCTTCTGGCCTGGGCAAGGTGAGGTTTCCCCTCCCAGTCCCCGCAAGCTGGGCCTCCACCGCCGCTCCCCATGTCCCGCAGCCAGGGCGAACCTTGAACTCCTGCCTCACACCCCCGCGTACCTCAAGTGACAGCCAGGCCTGGAGTGGCGAGGCAACGCTGGCAGAGCTCTGAGCGGCCTCCGCCCGGGGCTGGCCTCACCCATGAGCTCCTCGCCGGCCTCCTGAGGACAGGCCGCCCGAGCTCCCCAACCCACAGGCCATGTCCTCTGAGACTGTCTGAGTTCTCTTATGTCTCCCTCCCCACTCTGCAGTGCTCCCGGCTCCCTGAATCTTTGTTGTTGTTGGTGGTGGTCATGGGGCTTGAACTCTGGGCCTGGGCACTGTCCCTCAGCTCTTCAGCTCAAGGCTAGTGCTCTACCACTTGAGCCACAGCGCCACCTCCAGTTTTCTGGTGGTTCATTGGAGATAAGATTCTGGGATTACGGGTGTGAGCCACCGCGCCTGGCCTCTCCACGCATCTTGCACATAGCCCCCCAGGCTCTGTCAGTTTCTTGTGTTTTCCCATTGAGGAGGAGGCTGGGAGGGCCGGGGATCGCCCTTCCCCAGCTGGCACTCACGGGGCCTAGGCGGGGCTGACGGCTGACTCATCACCCCTCCCACTCCTTCCCAGCAGTCTTTCCTTATTGATGTATTGATTCACCTGCTAAATTTGCTTTTTCAGGAGAAAAATCTGACAGAATGCCTTGTGCAGGCCATCTGGAGCGTGGCCTCAGCCAGTGCGCAGGACCCCGCACTAATCCACTAATCATTTCGTGGTTGTTTTGTTTACTGTGTTGCTAAAGTAGTCCAGCTGGCCTCCAACTCTAAATCTTCCTGCCTCCTCTCAATTGCTGGGATTATGGGCTGTTTTACCTGGCTACAAGTAGGCCTCACCTTGCTGAAGACCCTGCAAGTCCCAACACCCCCCACCAACCTCCCCCCTCCCCCCAGCCTCAAAGAGAGCAAGTTTGAAGGCTGGAAACAGCCTCTGCTGTAAATAGCTCACCACTTAAGGCGCTCTGCTCCGGAGGCTTTGTCTTAAGAGGTCTGAGAGGCCCTAATCCGTGTTGGAAAGAGGGCAGGCTGTGAGTAAACAAGGTGACAGCCCTGGGGGGAGGGGGGCCACTTTCCAGAGGTGTGACACCTGAGAACCCGGGCTGGGGGATGTGGGGGGGGGAGGCCCCACCTCCACCAAGCTTGGCTCCTCCCCCAGGGAGCCCCAGCCCTAATGTAAGTCGAAAGGAAGGCTTGAGAACAAGACCTGTCCCCTGACACCTGGCTCTCAAAAGGGAGATAAACGCACTTATTCTTCCGTGGAGCCTTCTGGGGAGCCGGCTCTGTCACATAAATTCATGAGCGGGGTGTGGTGGCTCACACTTATACTCCTAGCTATTTAGGAGGTTGAGATCTGGAGGATCATAGTTCAAAGCCAGCCAGGACCAAAAAGGTAGAGACCCCTTTATCAAACCATAGCTTAGCACAGTAGTGAGTACCTGCCATCTAAGATGCTACACAGGAAAAGCATAAATGGGAGGATTGAGGTCCAAGCTGGCCCAACCAAAAGACCCTATTTAAAAACTAACAAAGGCAAAAAGGACCGGACACGCGGACGGCTCATCTTTAGAGCTCCTGCTTAGTGAAAGACTCTGAGTTGAACCTCTCACACTACCAAAAAATAACACATTAAACAGCGTTGGGAAAGCAAAAGCCAGAAACTCCTTCCTAGAAATTCAGCTAAAGGGAAAATAAGAGAAATGAGACAGACAGGAGCAAATCAGAGCAACTGAAATGCTGGCCAAGGACGCTCATTCATTCCTTGGACTAGGACGCAACCATTAAGCGGGATGGTGGCGAACGCTGTGTAAATGTTACACGATCAGATAGCAAAATAGAACACCTGGCTGCATTTCTACTATAGTTACCCCTTGTGATTAAGAAAATGGGAACAAGACTGAGTGGAGTGTGGAAACAGCCATGCCTGGCTTGAATTTCTTTTTCCGGCTTGTTTTTAAATATTGTCATTATATGTTTTGTGAATTGACGGGAGGCGGGGACAAAAAAAAAAATTGAGGCACTTATTTGTGGGGCTTTGAGGCACAGAGGGAGTTGGTCTTTGTTCCAGCCTGGTGACTAGCACTGAGAGCCTCACGTTTGCTCAGCTTGCTTGCTCCTAGCGGGGGGCTCTATCACTGGAGACTGCCTTTTTTCTGGTTCATAGGAAATAAAGGCTCTCAGACTTTTCTTCCTGGGCTGGCTTGGAACTGCAGTCCTCTAAATCTTAGCCTCCTACTAGGAAGGATTACAAGCATGAGCCACCGACTCCTGAATGAAGTCGTTTCAATTAAACTAAATATTTGCTTGGAAACATGCTTGAATCCTCAGGTCACTGGAGTGGAAGGACCTGATCATCTCCTCACTAGGGAACAAAGGGGCGTTGGGGTTGCACAAGTAAAATAAGTCAGTGCCAGGTACTGGTAGCCCAAACTTATAAGAAAGAAGAGCCAGGAGCCAGTGGCTCATACCTGTAATCACAGCTACTCAGGAGGCTGAGATCTGAGGATTGTGGTTTGCCCAAGAAGGAAAGGTTCTGGGGCTTGAACAGGGCCTAGCTTGTGTCCCTGAGCCTCTCTGTGCTCAAGGCTAGCGTGCTACCACTTGAGCCACAGCGCCACTTCCAGCTTTTTCTGTGTATGTGGCACTGAGGAATCAAACCTAGGTCTTCATGCCTGCTATGCAAGCACTCTACCACTAAGCCACATTTCTAGCTCCTGTGAGATTCTTGTCTCCAGTATATTACCAATTAAGCTGGAAGTGGAGGGGCTGGGAAGGTGGCTCAGTGGTAGAGCGCTTGCCTGGCATGCATGAGGCCCTGGGTTTGATTCCTCAGCACCACATAAGCAAAAAAGCTGGAAGTGGTGCTGTGGCTCCAGTGGTAGAGCACTAGCCTTGAGCTGAAGAGCTGAGGGACAGCGCCCAGGACCAAAGTTCAGGCCCTACAACTGGCAAAAAAAAAGCTGGAAGTGGAGTTGCAGCTCCAATGATAGAGCTCTAGCCTTGAGGGGAAGAAGCTCAGGGACAGTACCCAGGTCCTGAGTTCAAGTCCCAGGACTTGAAATCAAAGTGTGGGGGTGGGGTGGAAATATGTCAGTGCCTATCTCACCAGACCCTGAGTTCAAACTCCAGTATTGATCCCCCAGAAAGAAAAAAGCGCAGATTGTGTGTAAATGTCATAGTAAAAGTACAATTACTTTATCCTAATAAAAATATTTTAGCGACTGGGGATGTGACTTAGTCGTAGAGTGCTTGCCTAGCATGCATGAAGCCCTGGGTTCGATTCCTCAGTACCACATAAATGGGAAAAGCCAGAAGTGGCGCTGTGGCTCAAGTGGTAGAGCGCTAGCCTTGAGCCAAAGAAGCTCAGGGACAGCGCCCAGGCCCTGAGTTCAAGCTCCAGGACTGGAATAAAAAAAATTTAATGGCAGAGTGGGCTTGTCTAGCATGCCAAGCTCCCTGGGTTTGATCTCCAGCACTGGGGCAGAGGGGGGTGAGGGGAAGAGAAAAAAGAAAAGAAAGAAATAGAGCTTTCAGTAAGCTTTCTGAAGAAGAACAATGAGCCTTGGCAGAGGAACTGATGAAGAGCGTTTCCCTTTCCTGCGCCCCGGGCCCTGGCCGCTCTGGGCTGCTTCCTGCCCCTGGCCGCAGCCCCTCGAGGGGCAACTGAAATAAGTCACAGCCCCGGCTTGTGCTGCGCCTGGGGGCCTGTCCCCTCGAAGGGCGGAGCCCTCCACAATCCTCTCCTCCTGGGATTTGCTGCCATAATCTCCATCCTCAGACCCTAAAACCCGCGTGGTGACCTTCACACGCACTGCCCTTTCCACCCCAGCGGCTCAGCCAGCTCTTTGGGGCTCAGTCATGTCTCGGCTTCAAGCCATCTTCTGCTGCTCATGTACCCCTCAAGTTCGAGTCCCCCTAGGGGTTCACCAGACTGCCTCAGAGGGAAAATTAACTAAGATGTCAGCCCAGGGCTGTGTAGAGCTGGACAGAAAGAAGAGGCAGAGAGAAAGCACCCCAGGCTCAGGCAAGCTGTGCTGCCCTGGGGAAAAAAAAGATCCCTCCTGATACAAGATAATCGTTCTGGTAGAATCCAAACCCAGAGCCCTCCACGGGTTTCATTTGCCATATGCCAAGAAGGCTTTAGGAATACTTCCTTGTGTTTCAAAAGTAAACACCAACTGGCATTAAATGAGCACTTACTGTATACCAGGCTCTAAGCAGAGCTAGGATCAACCTGTTCCAGAACCATCCCTTGAAAGGTGGCCAAGCAGAGATCTGGAGTAGCCAGAGACCTGCTCAAGGTCACCAGCTCATTCATTCACACACCTGGAATTCCAGAGCAGCTGGCCCTATCCAGAGAGGAATGGTATGGACCGGATTGCATTGGATCCAGGAAAAACTCCTTGGGAGAAGGGGATGGGGTGGAGCAGTTGGGAAACGGGGAACACACCAGGAAGTGTGAGCTAGTGGGCTAACCTCACCTCTTAGGCCTGAATAAGACAAGTAGTAAATGTCTGGGCACAGCCTCACCCCTGCAGTCTGCGCCTTCCTGAGTGGATCTCCCTCCTGGAGCCGCCTCTGAGGGCCATTTAGACAACTGCCCCCTTTCCTGTCATCTCAGCCAGATCCCAGAGGGAATCATCTACAGCTGCCATTTTCAGGAGCCCCTTCTAAGTTGTGCTGGGTCCCCATGGCCCCACATTTCCCTTCCTCCCCCAGACCCCTGGGCTGGACTCACTCTTTGACCTCCTTGGAGGAAAAATCCAGGTAGCGATTACTGATCCACTGAATTTCAAACCAGTCCCGGAAGCCATTGTTGCCGCAGCACTTGAACTCGATCTGCAGCAAGTCGATGGTCTTCTTCATGAAGCAGCGGCCCGGCGTGTCTGTGTCCCGGTAGTACTTCATGCCGTTCCGCAGCCCCGTGGCCAGGGTGCTCTCGAGAGAGCCACGCAGCACGAAGCAGCAGAGGGCCACGAGGAAGAGGAGGACGTTGAAGAGTACACACACCGCCAGGTACACCTTCAGCCACGGCTTCCACTTGGCATACTTGGCAGGATCCAGGGCGTCGTAGCAGATCTTGCCGGCCAGGGAGTTGAAGACGCAGGACAGGAGCCCCACCCCAATCAAGGAGTTGGGGACAAAGTGACTCTCAGAATTATTCATCACCTCGCTCCTCTTCCGCAGTTCAATCTTCAGAAACAGCCCGAGGCTGAAGAGGATGATGCCAGCCAACACCGACAGCCAGTTCAGGAGCCACAGCCCCTGGGCCAGCTTCACCCGCTTCTTCTGATCGAACTTGACCTTGAGCAGAGCCATCTTTGTCAAGCGTGGGCCGGGCGGTCTGGCGCGCACAGCCCCTGCTCAAAGCCTCTGTGAGCTCGGGCTGGCCACTCAGGGCCTTGGAATGGGAGCCGATGGTCTGAGCTGCAGGGAGCTGTCCTGAGGGTTGCCCATGTTGGGGGCTCCCCTCCCCAACCTAGGACCCCCTGTTGACTGAGTAAGCGCTGCTAGCAAGGGCCAGTCCCGGTGTTGTTCCTTCAGCTCCCTTCCAGCTAAGCAGGGACTGCCTGAATAGGGCAGATTACAAATGGGATCCTCAAGGTTCTTGCTAATCTCTTTAACCAGCTTCATCCCATTAGATAAAGCTGTGCGGGGCTCAGAACACGGCCACGAGGAGGCCCGGTGGACACGTGGAACCAGAGAGCTGTGAGGGCAGCTTGGGCAATCAAGAGCAGAACATGGGAAGCTGGCCCCAGGAACGGATTGCCCCTGGCGGACTGGCTCTGGGGTATGCCCGCCCTGAAGGCCATTTCTCAGCAGTGACTTCAAAACGTAGAACTTTCTTTCTTTTTTTTTGTCAGTCATGGGGCCTGAACTCTGGGCCTGGGGGCTGTTCCTCAGCTCTTCAGCTCAAGGCTAGCACTCTATCACTTGAGCCACAGTGCCACTTCTGGCTTTTCTAGCTTATGAGGAATCGAACCCAGGACCTTATGCATGCACTCTATCACTGAGCCACCTTCCCAGCCCCAAAATTCAGAACTTTCTGTGGGAGGAAAGGCATCAGAATCCAAATTTAAAAAGAAAGGAAGCGGGCTGAAAAGGTGGCTCAGTGGTAGAGCGCTTGCCTTGCATGCCTGAGGCCCTGGGTCTGATTCCTCAGCACCACATAAGCAAAAAGAAAAAAGCCACAAGTGGCGAGTGTGGCTCAAGTGGTAGAGCACTAGCCTTGAGCTGAAGAGCTGAGGGACAGCGCCCAGGCCCAGAGTTCAGGCCCCATGACTGGACCCCTCCCCCCCCCCCAAAAAAAAAAGAAAGAAATGAAGCTGGGTCTGTGGCTTAGTGGTAGAGTGCTTGCCTAGCATGCATGAAGCCCTGGGTTTGATTCCTTAGTACCACAAAAACAGAAAAAGCCCAGAAGCAGTGCTGTAGATCAACTGATAGAGTGCTAGCACTGAGCAAAAGAAGCTCAGGAACAGTGGCCCTGAGTTCAAGCCCCAGGACCGACAAAAAAAAAGAAAAAAAGAAAAGAAAAAGGAAGAGAAGAAAGAAAGAAAGAAAAAGAAAGAGGAAAAAGAAAAAGAGATGGTATGGCTGGAAGTGTGGCTCAAAGTGGTAGAGGGCCTGAGCTCAAACTCCATCCCCCTTAATTAAAAAAAGAAAGAAAAGAAAAGGGAGGAAAAATTGTCATAAAAATCTTGCTTAGTGGCTTAGTGGTAGAGTGCTTGCCTAGCATGCATGAAGCCCTGGGTTTGATTCCTCAGTACCATATAAATAGAAAGAAAAAAAAAAGCTAGAAGTAGTGCTGTGGCTCAAGTGGTAGAGTGCTAGCCTTGAGCAAAAGAAGCTCAGGGACGGGCCCAGGACCTGAGTTTAAGCCCCGGGAGTGACAAAAAAAAAAAAAAAAAGATCCTGAGATCCTGAGCTGAAATCCTAATATTCACACACACACACACACACACACACACACACACACACACACACACACACACACACACACCACAAATCCACAATCAGAAGATCAAAAATCAGCATGGGTTCAGTTTTCTGGAAAAGCACCTGCTTAACATGTGCAAGGCCCTGGGTTTGATCTTCAGCACTATAGAGACAGAGAAAGAGAGAGGGAGGAAGGGAGGGAGGGAGGGAGGGAGAAGCAGGAGAGAGTGGGAAGAGGGGAGAAGAAAGAGGAGAAAGGGAAGGAAGGAAGGAAGGAAGGAAGGAAGGAAGGAAGGAAGGAAGGAAGGAAGGAAGGAAGGAAAAAGAGCCAGGCACCGGTGGCTCACGTCTGTAATTCTAACTACTCAGAGGGCTGATCTGAAGCCAGCCTTGGCAGGAAAGTCGTTAGACTCTTATTGCCAATAAATTACTCAGAAAAAGCTTTAAGTGGCGCTGTGGCTCAAGTGGTAGAGCACTAGCCTTGAGCACAGAGAGGCTCAAGGACAGAGACCAGAGTTCAAGCTCCAGGACTGGCAGAAAAAAAAAAAATCTAGGAAAATAGGCCAAAGACAGAACAAGTAATTCATGGCAAAACTTAGAAAAGTCTAATAATCTGGAAATAACCTCAGTAGTATACAGGGAAATGCAAATTAAACAGTAGCAGCTCAAACTTGATCTATTCCCCTGAACACATGTCCAAATTCTGTCACTAAAGAGTGTAAGATAGTGAAAATGGAGATGTGCATACTCGATGAGTCTACATTGTGTGTCTGTGTGTGCTAGTCCTGGGGCTTGACCTCACCGCCTGGGCCCTGTCCTTGAGTTTCTGCTCAAAGACTAGTGCTCTACCACTTGAGCCTCACCTCCACTTCTGGCTTTTTTGGTGGGAAATCGGAGATAAGCGTCTGCCCAGGCTGTCTTCAAACTGTGATTCTCAGATCTCAGCCTCCTAAGTAGCTAAAATTATAGACAAAAGCCACTGGTATCCGGTTTAGTTTGTAATTTTTTAATTATTTCTTAGAGCCAGTTTAGATTTACACAAAGTTGAAAAGAAATGCTAAGCTTTCATAAACTCCTTCACCCCAACCAGTTTCCCCTTCAGTAATAGCTTGCATTGGTGTAGACCTGTGAGTTTTACCAAACACATAATATCCCATACCACCATGACCATATCACACAGAACATGGTTCCTCTGCTCTAAATGCCCCTGTTCTTCCTCTCACCCCACCCTCTCAGGTCTCAGGCCACCGCTGGCTCTATCTTTTCCAGGATGTTTTGCACTTTGAATTATTATATGTGTCTTCCTCCCCTGATTTTTCTCTCCACGTGCAATCTTTAGTCAGGTGCTGGTGGCTCATGCCTGTAATCCTAGCTATTCAGGAGGCTGAGACCTGAGAATCTTGGTTCGAAGCTAGCCAGGGCAGGAAAGTCCGTGAGATTCTTATCTCTAATTAACCACCAGAAAACCAGAAAGGCACTGTATCTCAAAGTGGTAGAGGGGCTGGGAAGGTGGCTTAGCGGTAGAGTGCTTGCCTTGCATGCATGAGGCCCTGGGTTCGATTCCTCTGCACCACATAAGCAGAAAAAGCCAGAAGTGGCACTGTGGCTCAAGTGGTAGAGCGCTAGCCTTGAGCTGAAGAGCTGAGGGACAGCAACCAGGCCCAGAGTTCAGGCCCCACAACCGGCAAAAAAAACCCAAAAACAAAAAATTAAAGTGGTAGAGTGTTAGCCTTGAGCCAAAAAGCACAAGGATAGTGCCCAGGTCCTGAGTTCAAGCTTTACAACCAACAAAAAGAGGTCTCATGGACTTTCCTGCCCAGGCTGGCTTTGAAACATGATCCTTAGGTCTCAGCCTCTTGAGTGGCCAGGATAACAGGGGTGAGCCACCCGTGCCTGGTGCCTAGCTGAGGATGCATGTGGATGAGAGAAAATCAGAAGAGGAAGACACACTTGATGAAGGAAACCAGAGGAAAAATTTAACTAGGTTTTCCTTTTTCTTTTTGGTCTGGTTGTGGGGCCTGAACTCTGGGCCTGAGCACGGTCCCTCAGCTCTTCAGCTCAAGGCTAGTGCCCTAGCACTTGAGCCACAGCACCACTTCTGGCTTTTTTCTTTTTGCTTATGTGGTGCTGAGGAACCGAACTCAGGGCCTCAGGCATGCAAGGCAAGCGCTCTACCACTGAGCCACCTTCCCAGCCCCTTAACTAGGTTTTCTAGAATAACTGGATTAGGACACACTCATCTTTCTCTCCTGACCCCAAAGTTGAGAAGCAATTAGTCCAAGCCTGTGGACGCCCCCTAGTGGCCCAACCAAGAATGGCTCCAACAGATGTGTCCAGCCAGCTTCCCTGAGGATGTCAAGTGACCAACAAAGGTAAGAGAAAGAACAAGCTCAGCCAGGCAGCAGTGGCTCACGCCTGTAATCCTAGCTACTCAGGAGGCTGAGATCTGAGGATCAAGGTTCAAAGCCAGTCCGCACAGGAAAGTCTGTGAGACTCTTCAATTAACCACCAGAAAACTGAAAGTGGAGCTGTGGCTCAAGTGGTAGAACGCTCGCCTTGAGCTGAAGAGCTCAGAGATGGGCCCAGGCCCAGAGTTCAAGCCCCAAGACGACCCCCCCCCCAAAAAAAAAAAGGCAGCTTTGAAGGCTTTCAGTATCTAAACGTGGGACAAAGGCCATGACTCACCTCCCTCCCCTCTCAAAGATGATAGCTTTTAATTCTTTGGGCCTGTTATATTACTGGGGTTTCACCTCTAATTTCTCTATATGGTAGTCATTTGTCTCTTTAAAGTTCTTGCTCTGGGCTGGGAAGGTGGCTCAGTGGTAGGTAGAGCGCTTGCCTTGCATGCCTGAGGCCCTGGGTTCGATTCCTCAGCACCACATAAGCACAAAGAAAAAAGCTGGAAGTGGCATTGTGGCTCAAGTGATAGAGCGCTAGCCTTGAGCTGAAGAGCTGAGGGACAGCGCCCAGGCTGTCACAACCAGATTCCCCCCCCCAAAAAAAAAAATAATAATAAAGTTCTTGCTCTGACATCCCTCCTCTTGAACTCTGGCTTTGCGGAGGTGAAGGCGTGATTCCAGCACTTGGAGAGTCATGCGCAGTCCCTGCCCCTCCGGCTCTGCCAGCACGTGAACGCTGGTGACTGGGACTTCTGTCTTCAAACCATTGCCTTTCTCTCAAAAACTGTGCCCTCTCCTCACTAGCCCCTTCATTTTCCTTTCTTGCTTATATTATCTCAAAATATGCTTCATTTTCAGAAACTGCAGGAAACCCTGGAAGACTTCCCAGATGAGGGGCTTCACACCTGGTTTGTACACAATTTTGGCTGTGCACCTGGACCCACACGGCGTGGAGTGACTGAGAAAGCAGTGCCCGGCGGCTGA